CTCGCTTCTCTGTCTCTCAAGGTACTAGGTATGTGTTGATCTATGTCATCATCCACACCAGACCTGAGCCAGGCTAACAGGGTTCCCTCGTGGAGATTTCTTCAGCAAGGGAGGGGATGTCCAACGCTTGTCCGACTACCACTAGTGCCGTTCCGCTGGTCTGTATGGAGCATTTCGTACCCATCTACGACGCCAGACGTTGGTTCAACGCGAGATTATCACACCCCTCCCCCCTGGTCTCTTGTGGGACCGGAATGACAGCAAAAAGAAGGAAACGAAAGCTTCGATTGGCCTTCTAGCGCGCTTCTCCCGCCCTTCCCCCCTTGGACCGCCACCGAAACGGCTCGGTCAACCTCGGCCAATTTCTTCACGCTTGATGCTCGCTATTTCGCTGGCCCGCTGCTGTTTACCCACCGCATGATGGATGGCTGTCCAACCAGCGATTGGAACGCCTGTGTGGGCTCTGCTATTTTCAGCCCTCTAAGAGGGGACTCGACAAGACTGGAGGAGACTCGACGGCGTGCCATTTGCTCTGTTGCCAGGTTCCAGGTTGCTCATGCAGAAGCCGGTTCTGCTCAGCTCTCCAGACCAGGTGTTCTGGTGCTCTGCGGCTGGGCTTGGCTTGTTTTGGGGGAGGACATTGTCAAACCGAAGGAAATGACGGTGCGAGCGAAAGGAGAGAAACCAGAGGTAAGAAGTTTCTTGAATGAAATGCCTACCCTCCCTCCATCTGGGGAATGGCCAGACGATTCGAATTTGGTCCGTCGTGCCTCTTCGTTCTCTCTCATACATGCACGTTTGCAACTCTCTACCGCCGTTTATTACGTCTACTATTGTTCCCTTCACTGTTTTTTGCCTTTTTGGGAGGTTGTTAACAAAGCTTGTCCAATAGCGTGCTGATCGCTTTGGCCCTCGCTTGAAATCCATGCCCCAGGAGAGATCCAGCCAAGGCCTGTCGAGAGCAGTTATTTCACCACCATGAACTTGAGTCCCCCGCCCTGCGCTTCACTACTGTACACCGCAGTCTGCGGAATCAATTCAGCCACCCGTGTGAGACTCCTACAGAACTCGGATTGAAACCGGCATCGACACCATGGGTCCTTGCCCTGGCTTGAACGCTATTCTGCAGATGTCCAACGTTCCGTGCCTGATGATCCCGCTGCATCGGCCTTCGCCTTTGGAATCCTGCATCACTTGGTCCGCTTTGCGCTGACGAGGGACGTCTTGCATAGATGACAGAGATTAGCCTTGATTGACAGCTGGCTTCGACAACATGTCACTATCTGCCTAAGTGGGCATCGGTCTGCCTGGGGTAGCTTGGCAGAGCGTTCAAAGTGCGGTCTGTGAAGTCGGCTATTTCTGATCATTATCGAGTCTCCCGTTGCCTCCTGTCTATGAAGACAACCCTAATTGAGCTGCTGAATACTATTTCATCTACCAGACAAAGCGTCTCGAACAGTTTCCCCTGTCTACCTCTATTGGGACGACTTGGTTCGCAGCGGCGCTGAATCTAGTAGTATATGGAGCAGATCACCGACCCGCTCGAGACCGGATACTCTCCCCTACGGCCGCTCTTCCGGCCGCTTCAAATGGCGGCGCCGTTTTACTTGCCATCATCCTGGAGCCAATCGGTTATTAGTGCACTAAGTGACGATTCTGGTTCTCCAAGGGGTTTAGAGTCTCGACTTGATAATCTCGGGGGACTCTGTAGGGTTTATAGACGCGCCGCCTGACATGAACCCCAAGCGGTCCTGGCTTGATATACCCCAGACACGATGGCATTGACCGCGTCGAGACTACTGATTGCGCTGGTTTAAGGCCGACCGCAATGCGGCCGATGAACGAGGAGGGAGGAGGCCGTGAATCACTTAAAGGTGCCGAAGCAGCTTCGGATCGGGGCGGCCGCTGGTTGGCATAAGGTAAATCCTACTGCGTCTCCGCATCCACCTTCCACTGCATGATTACGAGAATTATTTCCGAAGCAATGGCCGCTGATGAAGACAAGGTCCAGTCTTTATCCTTGTTTCTGGACGTTGGTGAATCCCCGGAACTGTATCAGAGCCGCTTGCATTTCCCATCGTCTCCCTGCACCAACAAATTCATCGGTCAAGCGTTTCTTTGGCAGCATCTTGTCTACTTTCGCACTGGATACGGATTGAATCATTTCTTTGCATAGACAGTATTGCAGCATCTTTGAGTAGTGAGACGATGTTCCTGGTGTGCGGCCCATCTCTTTGAGACCAGACTATGGCTTCTTTTCATGCTGTTATTCCACAGCTCGAAACCAACTCCGCCTTTTGTCTTTTGCCTTCCCTTGCCCGTCTGCAAGACTACCTGCAGTAGTCGACCGGAGAAAAGGTCCGGCTCCATCTAGTTGGGGGGGATCGCCCCAGACCACATGCCGCAGTGGCTAATGCATGGTGATAGCAGCTCGCCTAGGTGTTGACGGAAGCTTTTCCGCTGGCTTTCAGCTACACTACTGACGTGCGGTCTCAGGTTGTCCAGCATTTGCGCCCTCTCCAGGTCTCAGTTCACGCCACAGAGAGCCAGAAGAGGAGAAATCACGATGGCATCGCCGTTTGGCTCGCTTTATTTGGTCGAGGAAAAATGGAGACGGTACGAGATATTTACGGGCAGCTCGCATGGCATCAATAGTTGCTGCAACTCCTCGTCGATACACCCCCTCACGATGCCCCTCTTGTCTCCTGTTGACAGCTCCACTCTCTCCCTCTCCCAAGTCTACTCTTGGTCTCAACATTTTCGTACCGTACCTCTTAAAAACCGTGTATACGTACCTACAACCCATACAGACACCTACACGTGTATGGAAGTACGCCCGTCGCTGTACCCAGAGTCCCCAACCTTTGCGTCTCTGTGTCCCCAAATTGCAAGGAGGTCAATGCCAAGAAGCGAAACCTGCTTTGGCGAGTACATGACCCCGTTCACCTCTTTTGCCTCTCCCACAAGTGAGGCTGAAGCTGAGAGCAGCTCCAAACCCACAGGTAATCAAATCAAACACTCGCCTGCGCCTCTCTCGGCTTTGCTACATACACGCACCTTCTTGACAGCTCAGCAATTCTACCTCCCCCCTCAATAGCCCATGGCACTAAGACCCTGATCTGCAGTGTTCTCCATCCAATACGCTCTTCCGCCGCACTTTCACTGTCCAGCTTTGCGAAACCCACTGCCACCGTGTCTTGCAAGTCCTGAGAATCACGGCCATTGCCTAGGTACGCTGTTCTGACAACGAGTACTACTTGGGTGTGGTCAAGATAAGCATTTCCCACGCCCCAACAACCAACAAAACACAAGGAATCGGCCAACGTCGTCTACAAGCCTGGCCTAGAGTGCTAATGAAGTCTCTCGCCTCCACTCTTTCCCCCTCCTGTCGAAACTAGAAGACAGGCGCCAAAAATGCAAGCTCGAGTGGAAACGGCATGGATTGCGCACCATTATAGCCTCTAGACGAGGGCCGCGCTTGAAGCCCCCTAATCGAGCTACCACTACGCGGCACTCGCCCTGTCTAGGTAGCAAAGTTTAGGTAACGACTTTTATTACCATTCCCTGAATACCTGCTTTCGTTCTTCCAGCGGTTCACTAGAATAAAACAAGAGCTGCCTGCTGCCCCCCACAAAGTGCTAGTTCCAAGCCTATAGTCTTGCTTCTAGCCGGTCCAGCTCTACATGGCTGAGACAGCGAATAGCTTGCTTTTCCGTCGTTCCTTGTTCTGCTTCTCTACAGGTTCCCCGTCCAAAGCTAATTCTTAAGACCATCTACTAAAAGAGGCGCGGGCTGGTGAAAAGGTGTGGAAGGGAACCGGCACGCTGGGACTCTTGTCTTCCGGTCTATCACGCCATGTGGCAAGCTTTCGCGCGGATTAAACTAGATGAAGCCTTGGTTCGTGCAGTATCGAGTAGGTAATGGTGGGATTAGTAGTAGCTGGTTTTGGCCTGGTAGAGGGAGGAGACGACGCGCGCCGCAATGAGAGCCGGTGGATGCAAAGACAAGGTAAGTAGTCCATGAGATCTGCGGCTTTCAGCCGCAGTCCCCCACGTTTTCGACGTTTCACGAGAGATGGGTTATAGATACAAGCCGGGTCTGGATTAGGCTAAAAGGAACGGTTCGCGGTGAGAAGTGTTCTATTTTTCGTAAGTCTCATAGTCCCTCTATAGCTAGGTAGGTCGAAAGGTCGTCTAAATATCCGTACAAAAGCAAGTCTATAAACAGATACATCAAAAAGAGAAGAAGACAAGGAAAAGCGATTGGAGCAGACAGAGTTCGTAAAAGAATAAGTAAAGATGAAACAGCATTGACCAGGAGGAGAGGTTTTGATACACACAAAAACAGAATATGCAACGCAAATTGCACAAAAAAGAAAATATTCCCAACAAGTATATCCGTCTAACAATTCTGTCCGCTCGCCGGCCGAGTAAAACCTCCCTCATGGTATCTTCCAAGATATGACCAACATAGAATGAGTGGAAAACATAAAAGCAAGCATAAGGGACAAAATAAATGATAAGAAAAAAAGAACGAGTATTGACAAAACATGAAGTCAGCGTTCCATCTCGAGCCGCCAGTTCCATATATATATTTCCGCTGATGCATCGTCTTGTTGTTTCCGTCCCGTTGCTGTTTGTGCGCCCAAGATTGAAATGCATGTGCGAGACCCAAACGCCGATGAATGTTTCAAAGTGTCGGTATCTCAGGCCTGAACCTGAACACACCCTCCCCCATAAATTCGTTGAGGCAATCATCGCAGCTGTCGATCGCCCTGCTTGTTGCCTCTCTTCGCCCACTTGTCACCGCTCCGTCATGCTTCAGCCCTCGCTGAGCTGGCTGCGTTGATCCAGGCCAAAACCAGCTCATCATGTTCGAATTTCCCTCCTTTTTATTGATGCCACGTAGAAATTTTCAGCTCCACCATGCCCTGTTGGTCTTGCCCAACGCAACCCTGCTTCGTGGCTGCTCGGTACGACAAAAATGCTTGATTGTGCTCTGCATGCCCACTGCTGCAGTGCAGTCAACAGCCAAATCTCGGTCGCCATTTGTTCAGAATTATTTCCCCCCCGTTTTCCAGGTTCAAGCTAATTGGCTGTTGCGCCCAAGGTTGTATACCTTGGGTCAGCATGCAGACTGACAACAGGTGGCCGCCAGAGATTTGCATTCGCCGGCAAGGGGAGGCTGTGATGGCCAGATTTCCATGAGTTTCGGTCGTGTCAAGTTTGGGGATTTCGGATGCGTCGGTGCTGATTCATCGATGGATGCCGGGATTGGCGTGGCTATCGGCCATCTCTGGAGGGTAGTATAAAGAATACGCGGCATTCCACTGTGGATTGCGCTGTTGCAGCGGCGTGTGAGGCGAGCCGCTGTGCGCAGCGTGAGGCGGCGGTTGCTGCTGGTGCTGCTGGGCATATGCGTGGAGCGGCGGCGGCGGCGGTTGTTGTTGCTGGTGCTGGTGCTGCGAGTGCTGCGAGTGCTGGTGCTGGTGCTGCGGATGCTGCGGGTGCTGATGCTGATGCTGGTGCTGGTGCTGATGTTGGTGCTGGTGTTGGTGCTGAGGCTGAGGCTGAGGCGGGTGTTGCTGCATATATGTTTGTGGCAAATTATGCAGAGTTGAGGTGTTGAGTCTGAGCCCACCTGGACGACGAGAAGTAGCTCAGGTCAGTCCAAGTCGTCTCTACGCGTGGCAAGAAGGGGGAGGAGAAGTGCATACTGTTGTGGTCGATCTCGTCGTAGTCCTGCTTGATGTCCTTGAGGGTGGCCGGCATCATGGCGGGAGGGACACTGGTGGGGATGTAGGCCGCATTGTACTCTTCACCGTGGGCGGGAGACGAGGGGCTGGGGATGTTGCCGAGGACGGGGTTCGGGGCGACGGGCGGCTGCCACGGCTCGCCGCCGGCGCTCGTCATGTGGCCATACGACTGCTGCGCGTAGTCGTTGATTTGATTGAAGTCACTCGAGGGCAGAGGCGACACCCTCGGGCTGGGCACAGCACCGCTTCCCGAACTGAGGTTGTCGTCGTAGACTGATGGACCTGGGGTTAGCGGTCCAAAGTAGAGGTCATGAGCGTTGTTGGTCATGGTACCTGGCGTACCTGCGGAATTCGAGGAGTAGGACGAGTCCGTAGCGGTGTAGCCCAAGTGTTCTCGAAGCCGGGCAATCTCCTGTTCGAGGAACTTATTCCGCCGCAGAAGCTCCTGGACCTTTCTGTCACGGCTCTGGACGCCCTTGAGTTCGGCAAGCTCACGCTCCAGACGCTCAATGTGCTCCTTGGTCCTGGCCCTGATGGCTCTCTGAGCCTCACGGTCGTTGGCTCGCTTGCGTGCCAGTTGTGAGGGCGTCAGGGTCGAAACACTTCTTGTGCCTGTGTTGAATGGAGAGTCAGTAGATGGTCCAAGTGAAACAGTAGGGCAAAGGAGCAGCCGAAGGACCCACGCCGTCACTGCCGGGACAGCGAAGACGATGGATTCTCCAGTCAGGTCAACTGCATAAGTGGGAGAATTCAACTTACCCTTTCGCTTGGAAGGCTTTGTAGGTTCTCCGGATGATGATCGCGGCATGTTGCACTCGATCTTGTGTAAGAGGGACATGCAAAGCTCGGTAGTAGGGCCGCAGTCGAAGCAGCTGGGTTGCGAAGAGGGCAGAAAAGCCGTAAAAGGCCGTGGAAATCAGTCAAGTGGGGGAGCCTCCGTAATAAATAGTGTGTATCAATTCCTTCTTTGCCCCAGGAGACCAGCAGCAGAGAGTTGATGAGGCAGCTCGTCGTGGGTCGCGCTACGAAAAAAAAGAGACGGGGGGTCCCGCTTCGTTTTCGTTGACGGTGGTTGATTGACTCAGGCGTCAACTAAATAGAAACACCAGAGAGATAAGGCTGTAGATGCGCGAGATGCCCTGACCGAGCCGAATCAAACGTAGAGGTTGCCACGCCGGAAACAGCAATTGCAACACGGAGCGAGATGAGGCAGTAAGAAGGGCCTCGATAGCGTTGGTGGACAAGGCTCGAGAGGCTGTTCTGAAACACTGAGCAAGTCAGAAGCAATAGAGAAGAGGTTATGCTTCAAACCAGACTCAATGAGGGACCCAGAACGTGGTTTTTCTCTTCTTATTCCCTTCTATTTGAGGTGGACGGGAAGAAAACAGATCTGATGCTGCAAGGTACTAAGATGAATAAATACTATTATACCAGCACGCACCTCTTAGCACCCCATCAGCCCAGCAGGCAAAAACATGGTGTGGACCCTCGACTTTCCGTAGCACTACAAGCAACAAGGACCACGGCTTTACCTTGAAGACGTAGTGGGTGGGACTTGTGTGTGTGGGCAAAGCACCAGGCCATGAGGTTGAAGGCGACCAGGGGGCGCTCGAGGGGGGGGGGGGGGGGGGGGGGGGGGGCGTGGGCATATCCGAGCCCAGTCCGTTCACCAGCGGACGACCGGGGCTTGAGAGAGAGGCTGCAGACTCTGCCATAGAAAGCGTGCTGTGGCGTTGCGTACACAACCCACTAGCTCTGGCAGTACATACTGGCGGCACTGGCATAGTCCTACAGTAGTACTCGTACAGTATGAAGGCGTCGACGAGGAGGCCAGGTGAGAGCGTACCGAGATGGTACTGTGCCGTCGTGCCAGTCTGCGGGGTGAAGGGTTTGAGACGAACCGACGCCACTGCAGGTCGAGATGTACAGTACAGTATGCAGTACAAGAGGCCAGAGGCGTCGAGCTGCTTCGGACCGCTTTGCCTTAGTGTCAAGAGACCGAGACAGAACGCGTGCATGTAATGGCACGTACACCATTTCAACGCCGCCGCTGGGGATGCAAGCAAGAAAAGATGAGCCGTGGACGTTGGGGAGGCGCTGGGCTGACTACCTAGGGAGTGATAGCCAAAGCAGGGATTGAGCATATGCACCGCAGGGAGTCGAGCAAGGACTTTCGAGTGCCGATAATCACGTCCAACAGCACAACGTACAGTCGGGCACACAGCTCGTGATATATAGGCCGGTCGTATGTGCTGTCGCCTCTTGAGCCCCTCCGCACTCAATATCGGCTGCTGGTCTCTCCAGCGCGGCAAGGGAGGAGGCTGGCGGAGGGAGAATTGAAACTGAGAGGGGCCTGCAGGCCGATCTTGTTGCCGTGACATGATTGTCTCGCGGGCGTTGGCGCTGGGCTTGGTCTGATGGAGCTGGCGAGCACGTTTCCGCGTGGGTGCCGCCAGCCAGACAACGGCTCGCGGTCCTGACGGCAGTCGCCTGCTAGGATGTAACAGGCATAGTCGAGCCCTCCGGCATTGGCTTGTCTCGTACTGTATCTTGGTGCCGACAATGCGTCTCGTAGGAAACCCGTCGTAGCAGATTCATACGGCGCCAGGACGCGCAGCGCCAGTCTCTCGCAGGTGGACTGGATATCGAGATTTGGCTCCAGGGGGGTGCTGCAGCCCAGTCAGCAGCTTATGTAGCCCCTGCCAGAGAGAAGAGAGGACGAGACACTCGTCGTGGGTCGGGTCGATGATGTCCATCTGATAGTTATTGTATACCCCCTGCTACCTGGCCAGTTCGTGTGCCAGACAGACAGACGGCAAAGAGATGACCCTCACCATGGCCTCAGTACTCTAGATAGGCCTCCAGAGCGCTGACCAATACAAGAGCTGGACAGCTCGCCTCCGGAGGAGCAATTCGACAGGCATCATCCCAATATAGGACGCAAGTCAATGTGCCTTGAGGTTCCTAGGTAGTTCGATGCTCGTGAAACATAATTCCGGCGTACCTCGTAATCACTGGCGATGTGCTCTTCGTCGCTCTCCGGATTTGTCCTGCTGTGCTGGTCTCGACTACTAGTAAGGCTCGTCGTCTCAGCGTCTTCCTCAGTCCAGCCCTTCTCCACAGCGACCCTGGAGACATACAGCAGCCAGGAACCTGCTCTTGACCGCCAGCGCCAACAGTTTGCCATTAATTGCAGGCTGCAGACGCAGCTAGACCAGTGGTGGTGTGCGCCTCTCTTGGTCGTCGCGAGTGCCGGTGGTGTACGACGTGGTCGACGGAGCTGACCATCGTCCAGCTGGTAAGGGGCCGCAAGGACTTGTCCAGCTGGTGTACCAGACCTTGATTGAAGCCCTGAAGGAGCTGGCGTTGTCGTGTACCAACTGGAGTGCGAATTGGTCCAGTTGAGGGTGCTAGATAGGTACTGAAGACGACGGGACTTGATGGATTTCGTTCGACTCTCGTTCAACTCTCGTCACAGCAACTCAACATTGGTAAATACAAGCCCGGCAGTATCTACAGTGGTCTTTTGGTGGTGGTGCGCTGCAGATTTAGTGCCTTTAGCGCAGAGCCCTCCACTGCGTTGGGTGTCGATGTGGGGGGCAGCTACAGGTGTTGTGGTGCTTACTAGTACTCGCATCAATTCGATGTCCATACTAGAGGGCTACTGACCGCCTTCGCTAGCCCCAGCAAGCGAATACGCACGAAAGTGTACGAGAACAGTGTTGAGGCTTTTGGGCAACATCCAACCGGGAAATCGCATCCGATCGCGATGCATCACAGTCGGTAAATACATGTAGGTAGGTACGTGTCATCCGTACGGCATTGAGCGTCTAGTAACACCTCTGTATCTAGAGTAACTGCCTAGGGTAAGATAGGCAGGCACCACAGACGGCACGCCGGAAGAAAACTTCCCACTTCCCCAGTTTATATCCCAGGGGGGACGTCATTGTAGCGATGATGTAATTCGTCCAATGCCGTCTCTTCTCTTCCTCAACGTCACGGCACTTCAAATTCTGCAGCAACTTGTGCTCAAACTCTTTCCTTCTCCAGCCCAGCACTCGCAACACCACGCTTTGCCTCTCGTCCCCTCCGCCCGCAGCATCGTGCATGTTCGCCACGACAGTCAGCAACTATGCGGTATCCCGTCCATAAACTCCATCGAAACGACTAGAGTTGCCTTCTCTTCCCAGGCCTTCCGGCAGCCTGACCAAGCCTCAAGGCCCCGAGCTCACGGCATCTTAAATCACTCAATACGTCGTCGTCTCGCATCACGAAGGTGTTCGCCCGTCGAGACGGCCCTAGCGCCCCAACTACAGCCGGATGGGCCGCAACTCCCGGCATCCGGTACTCGCACAGCAGCAACAAAGAATATGGGCATTGGAAGTCTTTCACCATTCTAGAAGTCCCAATTGCTGCTCTGTCATCACAATACCTAGCTTCCAAGCCCCCGAATAGCGCAGCAGCCGATCTTTCACCGAGCGCCTAGACGGCCTCGAACCGTGTGCTGTGATACGGCGGATTGGAGTTGGTGGCATTACGCTGTGGCATCGGCCGAAACATGCAACGTGCTGCACACCCCCGCCCCCGGCTTCCCATGTCATCATCCCGCAGGTCTTTTTTATTTCCATTGCCAAGCGGATATCGACCTGATATGCGTGATCTGCACGCCATTGGGTCAAGCACTGATACTGTATGAGCCCTGTGAGTTGTCGCGTTGATGTCTCTACAACCGGCTTGGGTTCATTAGCCCCATTGTCTTGCAAACAAGCACACGGAGGAGGGAGAAAGGAGGCTTCGGGCTAACGCTGATGGTGGCGCGTGGCGACTGCTCCAGCAACGCCATCAACTCCACTGGCGGGATCAAAAGACTGGGCGATGCTCGTGGCAGAGGCAGGCTAGAAACGAGGTTCTTTGTTCTGCTGGCCCTTTGCTTGCGCGGCTGCTGCGGATGCGAGCAGATTGCTTCATTACTGCTGACCAAGCACGGTCCGCTGTATTTTGCCCTTGGTGACGGCGATGCTTCGTTCGAAACGCGACAGGATATGTCTCCTGCTGGTCGAGATGGAGGGAGGAAATGATGATTGAGGGAGCAGCGACAGGCCTGAGGACGGCTCGCGCAAAGCAGCAGAAAAGAAGATGCGACGGCCAGTCAGCCGCTAGTGTTTGACTCGCACAATCGACGGGCGGCACATCCCGCCATCTCTGCACGCTTGAGCAGAGAGGAGACTGTCTCGGGCGTGGTCCCTTGTTGGTGCTGCCAGAAGCCATCGACCAGCCAGCTCTCGAGAAATGCATCTGCCTAAACTGCCGCTAAGTGCTCCTGGAATCTGCAACATGACTTGCGCGCATGGGCTTGCGCGGGGGCGGTGGTAGTATCTTCAACACGACGCACGCATCCATGATGCTCATCAATCCCAACTCTCTGCTAACAAGCGGGGGGACAAATCTTGGAAGAGGAAAGCTTTCCTCGACCATTGCCCCCAATGAGAGTCCTGGAGAGTTGTGTTGACTGCCACACAGTCTTTCCGCCCAGTGTAATAGCTGTGAGTATTTCGTCCCCATGTTCTTTGCTTAGCCTGGATGGAGATACTGCTCCTTTTTCGTCGATCTGTCGCTTGCCCGGTTCCGTCACTCAAGCATTGCCCAATTCTAGACCTGACGGTCAACATGGTCATTAATGACAGCGAATTTAGCGTGCACCTCCATCACAACTCTGCTCCGAGCTCTTGGTCTGCATCTCGGTCCGTTGGAGTAGCGTAAGTCATACGGAGAAGCAGACGAAGAACGGAATAGAACGAGACTAGAAGC